ACTTTCATTAAGCAAAGTTGTGTCATCTGCATATCACAGGTTGTTAATGAGTCTTCCTTCAATCCTGATGCCACGTTCTTCATATAATCCAGCATCTTGGGTTATTTGTTCAGCATACAAGTTGAATAAGTATAGTGAAAAGATACAGCCTTGACGCACTCCCTTCTTGATTTTGAACCTTGCAGTATCCTCTTGTTCTGTTAGAACAAGAGCCTCCTGGTCTGTGTACAGGTTCCTCGTGAGTACAATCAAGTGTTCTGGAATTCCCATTCTTCTCAATGTTATCCACAATTTGTTATGATCCTGCAGTGTAGTAAATTACTTAGTGTGGCTTTTCTACCCATAAGTCTTTGTCAACTCCAAGGTGGGATTTTTCTATGAGCAACTGAGAAGCTCCTGATTGCTAAAGTTGTTCACCTGAAGTATTTCTGTTGAGAGTGGCACAAAACAATGTTATGGGAGGTTCCCACTCTCTCTCAGGTGCTTAGAGGTCTGGTGCTATGATTGGTTAGTTTGGCCACTCTGCTGGGCTCAAAAGGAGGCCTCCTAGAGGCAGAAGAAGAATCAGTCTCTCTCTGACTGCTGGTTGAGGAGGATGTGCTGCTGAAAGAGACATGAGCTCCTGAAAGAGACACATGCTGCTGGGAAAGAGACAGAAGAGACATGCATTGCTGAGACACCGAGGGACACTCACTGTTGGGAGAGAGACTGTGAGAGACTGTTAGGAGAGAGACTGTGGGCTGGGAGAGAGACTGAGCACTTTTCCTGAACCTGAATTGTAGCCTGTGGCACTTCCCTAATAAACCCCATAATTTGTGAGTTCTGTGTGGCCACTGCAGCAAATTATCGAACCCAGGAGAGAGGTGGTGGGTGCTTTGGGAGGAACGGTTGGTGAAAGGGCTGGAGGAAGGCAGCATGTCCGGCCTCACAGGAATAGGCTTTGGGCTATTGATGGTGATTCTGTCTTCATCTTGTAAAGTTAGAGGAGGTCAGAAGATGTGGCCTCCTTGCCGTTTTTGCAGATCACTCAATCAATGCTTTTGCATAGTCAATAAAACGTAAGTAAACATCTTTCTGGTATTCTTTGCTTTCAGCTAAGATCCATCTAACATCAGCAGTGATACCCTTTGTTCCACGTCCTCTTCTGAATCTAGCTTGCATTCTGGAAACTCTCTGTCAGTATACTGCTGCAACCGTTTTTGAATTATCTTCAGTAAGATTTTACTTGCATGTGATATTAATGATATTGTTCGATAATTTCCACATTCTATGGGATCACCTTTCTTTGGAATAGGTACAAATACGGATCTCTTCCAGTCAGTTGGCCAGGTAGCTGTCTTCCAAATGTCTTGGCATAGCCAAATGATTGCCTCCAGTGGAGCATCCGTTTGTTGAAATATCTCAATGGGTATTCCGTCAATTCCTGGAGCCTTGTTCTTTGCCAGTTCCATCAGTGCAGTTCAACTTTCAGTATCATTGGTTCTTGATCATATGGTACCTCCTGAAATGGATGAAGATCTACTAGTTGTTTTTGGTACAATGACTGTGTATTCCTTCCATCTTCTTTTGATGCTTCCTGACATCCATTTTGGTCTTTTCTCCCTTTCTTGTCTTTTTAATGATTTCTTGCTTTCTTCATAAGGTTGATGTTCTTGATGTCATCCCATAATTTCTCTGGTTTTCAGTCACTGGTATTCAGTGCATCAAGTCTATTCTTCAAATGGTCTCTAAATTCTGGAGGGATATTATCAAGGTCATATTTTGGCTCTCATGGAATTGTTTTAATTGTTTTCAACTTCAGCTTGAATGTACATATGAGCAGTTGATGGTCTATTCTGCAACCAGCACCTGGCCTCGTTTTGGCTGAAAATAATGAACTTCTCCATCACCTCTTGCCACAGATGTAGTCAGTCTGATTGCTGTGTGTTCCATCTGGTGAAGTCCACGTGTATAGTTGTACTTAGGTTGTTGAATAAAGGTATTTGCAATGAATAAGTCGTTGGTCTTGCAAAATTCTATCATGTGATCTCCAGCATTATTTCTGTATCCAAAGGCCATATTTTCTGACTACCAGTAACTCTTCTTTGTTTTCAGCTTTTGCATTCCAGTCACCAGTGATAATGAACACATCTTGATTATGTGTTTGGTCAATTTCAGACGGCAGAAGTTAGTCGAAATCTTCAATTTCCTCATCTTTGGCTCTCTGGTGGTTGGTGCATAGATTTGAATAATAGTAGTATTAACTTCTTCCTTGGAGGCGTATGGATATTATCCTATCACTGACAACATTGTACTTTAGGACAGATCTTGAAACAGTCTTTGTGACGATGAATGCCATACCGTTCCTCTTCAATTTGTCATTCCTGGCATAGTAGATCATGTGGTTGTGTGATTCAAAATGCCCTAAACCAGTCCATTTCAGCTCACTAGTGCCTAGAATATCGATCTTTGTGCATTCCATTTCATTTTTGACAACTTCCAATTTTCCTAGATTCATGCTCTGTACATTCCATGTTGCAATTATTAATGAATGTTTGCATCTTTCTACTCATTTTGAGTTGTGCCACATCAGCCACTGGAGGTTTCAAAAGCCTTGTTCTATCCATATTGTTAAGGTTGTCTCTACTATGAGGAGTTAGCTGCTCCCCAGCCATATTTTTAGTGCCTTCCAACCTGCTGGGCTCATCTTCCAGCCCTATATCGGACAATGTTTCAGGGCTGTTCATAAACTTTTCCAGTAATATATCAGACAGTGTTTCACTGCTATTCATAAGGTTTTCACTGGCCAATTCTTTGAGAAGTGGATGGCCTCTTCCTTCTTCCAAGTCTGTCTAAGCCTGGAAGCTCTGCTGAAAGCTCGCCGCCGTGGGTGACCCTGCTGGCATTTTGCAACACGGTGGCATAGCCTCCAGCCTCACAGCAGCACGTGCGCCACCACAAGATGACAAACTGACAGACAAGTTTGTCTCCCTTAGTTCCTAACCCCTCTGCGCCTGACTCCCTTGGGCAGTGGTCTTAAAAATAGAGCCACCCACAAGCAAAAAGCAGCTCCGAGACCCAGCCCGCCTACCTTGGGCCTATGCCTTAATATAGAGCGACACCAGCAAAAAGCAGTCTCCAAGCCCCAGGCCTGCCTACCCCAGGTCCCAGTCTTAATAAAGAGCCGCCCCCAAGTGAAAAGTAGCCCCCAGCCCAGGCCTGCCTACCTCGGGGCCTCAGACTTAATATAGAGCCACACCCAACCAAAATGCAGCCTCCAAGCCCTGGGCCTGCCTCCCTCAGCCCCCGGCCTTTATAGAGAGCCATCCCCAAGGGAAAAGCAGCCTCCAAGCCGTGGGCCCGAGAAAAAAAGATGGATGCTGTAAAACCTGTACGTGGTGCAGTGAGGCTAGTTGTGTCTCCGGATCCCAGCATTTGAAGGCAGCATCTTCTCTTCCATTGGTTCCTTCCTTCAGGGAGGCAGGCAGTGGCATCAAGCTGCTTCTGGCACAGTGCTCAGCCTGAGCACAGCTTGAAACGCTTGCCAACGGCACCATCACCTGAGTGCAGAGGAGTGCGTGCCCAGAGTGCTGTCGCTTTAGCGCAGAGGAGCCACGTGCTTGAGGTGCTGACGCCTAGAGCAGAGGGGAGCGCGTGTCCATGGCGTTGATGCCTGTGGGGCAGTCCTGTGGGTTTAGGACATCGATTCTTTGTCTCCTGGTGGCCTTACATAGGTGTTAGATAGTGTCATTCCTTGGGAAATAGAGGACAGTCTTTCCTGAGAAACTGTCCTGCGGCTGGCTTTTCAATTCATCCGGAATGTTCATCTTGCAGAGTGCCCTTTCCTGGGGCCACCCAGTGTCACAGCCAAGATGAAATTGGAGCTAGACCTTCTCAGGGGCGAGGGGGCAGCTTAGGAGCAGACGGAGTGCAGGGAGGTGAAGCAAGGTTATCGGAAGAGGCTGTGCCCTTGGTAGAAAGCAGAGCTGTCTTACTGGAGCCTTTGGGGTGCCTTCCAGGGACTCGAGCTACGGGGTGAGCACCCTTAACGTGTGTACTGTTCTGGTCCTTGTTGGCATTGAAAATGACTAGGTTCGTTGTTTGAGCCCAGGCCCCGGGGACAGCACCGGGGGGGGGGCAGTGTTAAAAGCCCCACTCGTCAGGACCCATAGTAAAAAGCAGCACTGGGTTTTGGACGACGTCTGTCAGACTCCAGAGCCGAGGCTGTTTTCCCTGGGTGCCCAGCTTTTTACAGAAGACTAAGATGGTCCAGTTAGGCCTCAGAGAGGCCCAGGGTAGCCTCAGCACTGAAGGGCTGCTCAGAACTGGTCTGGACACAGTGTGGGTGGTGTGCTCTGGGCCCTTCAGGGACAGCCTCCCTCTGCTGCCTGTGTGTCCTGCGACTTGGGCTTGCTTGCCACGTGTCAGTGCACTGCTGTCTCTTTGTAGACTCCTCCGGCCCCTTCACTCTATCCTAGGCGTGTGGTGAGCCTGCCACTCTTGTCCTTGGCTGAGCAGGGCTTCTGTGGAATGACTCTGGATCCTTGAGCCAGGGAGCCCTGGCTATAGCCTTGAAGCGAGACCCTTTCCCAAAGGTGGCAGCCCCAGGCTCTATCTTCGGCTCCGGAAGCCAGAAGACACTGAAAAGGCTTCAAGTGGATGTGGCTGGCAGCTAACTCAGCTGTCCCCTCCTGGAAACCTCTCCTGAAAGTCCCTAAAGTGAGCTGTTCCCTCCTTGGGAGCGACTGGGTGAGGGAGCAGTTATTGGGCGCCAGGCGTCCTCACATTACCTCATTAGGTCCTCACAGGGACCTGAGGGCTAGTAACGCTCCGTGCAGGGGATTCTGGGGCTTTCCCACTCCACCAGTGTGCAGCACCCAGGGCTGGAGGTTTCCCACCGCCAGGACCAGGCCTGTGCACGCAGGGACCCTGGGGTTCCTAAAACAAACCTGCAAGGGGGAGTGACATCTGCTTGGCCACAGCCCTCCAGCTCCACTTTGCTTTCCCTGTTGCAGAGAAAGTCGAGCAAAGCAAAGGAGAAGAAGCAGAAGCGACTGGAGGAGCGAGCAGCCATGGACGCAGTCTGTGCCAAAGTGGATGCCGCCAACAGGGTGACGCTCCCCACCTTCCCCAGCCCTGCCTCCTGCCGCTTCAGCCTAGTTGTTCATTTGACTTCTTTTGGCGCCACTCTGTGGCAGAACTGTGTTACTGCTGCCCAAACGCAAGGGCTGCTCTGGGGCTGGGAAGTCACCTCCTGAGTGGAGTGGGTCTACGGCGTCTGCTTCCGGAGAACAGGGCTCTTCGCCCAGAATCTGCGGTTCTGCCCTCGTGCACTTTGTGACTCCTCCCCTTTCCCTCCACAGCTTGGCGACCCTTTAGAGGCCTTCCCGGTATTCAAGAAGTATGATCGGAATGGGTGCGTACCTTGTGCGTTCTTCACTGTGGCCGCATCGGTGTCTTTGGGAGCTTACCTTTCTGGAGCCGCTTCTGTGGACCCTGATTTTCTCATCTTTGAGGAGCAGAAACTGTGGCCAGTGCCCTCAGTTGATATAAACCCCCCAGTTAAGGTGACAAAAGAATCCGGAGTGACCAGGATTGGGTTCAGTCTTGGACTGGTGTCTGTTTAGGACTTTGTATCCTCGCTGTGAGGTGCTCTGGTGGCGCGGTGGTTGAGCGCTTGGCTGCTAACCTTCACGTCAGCGTTGAACCCACCAGCCACTTTGTGGGACAAAGATGTGGCAGTCTCCTTCCATGAAGAGTTTAAAAAAAGAAACCAAACCTTTTTTCATCGAGTTCATTATGAGTCATAGTGACAGAGTGGAACTGCCCCATGAGGTTTCCAAGGCTGCAAATCTTTCCAGATTTTAGGATTCATAATCCACCCTACCTGAAGTGCTGTGGATAAGTCATGTTTCTGTAATGTGACGTTTGGGCTTAGGTGGAAAAACAGGTTACGGTTTTAGGGGAACCTGCGTTTAAATCTTAGCCCTGCCTGTTTGAATCCTGTGTAACTGTTTTTTGTGCCCTGGGGGAAGTCACTGCTCAAAGCCTCATTCCCTTACCTGTAAATGGGAGGTTATGAGACCAAACTGGCAAGAGTGTTGTGAGGAGGAGGAGACTACATCCCGCTCCACAGGTGGCTGCAGTCTAGATTTTAATGAACAAGTTGTTAGCTACCGTCCAATGGGCCCCCGAGTCACTGCCGCAGAACAAAGCGCTGCCTGCTCCTCCACCGTCCACCCCCGTGGTTGCTTGCAGATTGGACCGTTGCAATCTGTACTCTGGTAGCATAGTGGCTACGGCACTTGACTGCTAACCAGAAGGCTGGCGGTTCAAACCCACCAGCCACTCCTCGGAAGGAAGACGGGGCAATCTACTTCCGTAGTGATACTGCCTCAGAAACCCAAGGAGGGGTTGCTATGAGTCGGGTCCGACTCGACGGCAAACAACAATAACGATTTTCAGAAGTAGATTGCCAGGCCTTCCTTCTCTGTCTTCCTCTGGAAGCTCTGCTGAAACCTGGTCAGCATCCTAGCAACATAGATGCCGCCACTGACAGAGGGGTGCTGGTTGCCTGTGAGGTGCATTGGCCTGGAATTGAACCTGGGTCTCCCGTAAGAATTCTACCCATGAACCAGCCTTGCCTCAATGAATGAGACAGACAAATTCAGGTACATGAATTACAAAGTAAAGACTTGACCAGGTGCAAATCTATGGGCCTTTGTCAGGTATGAGTTTCCTAGTATCACATTAACTTACTGTTACTTCTTCCTGTCTGATTAGACACGTTACAGTTTTCCGGCAGGTGTGTCCTTCAGCCTCTGGGGGTTCTTCCACGTGGTCCAGTCTTCCTTTCCCGTGACACTTTCTTGTCTATACACCACATTCACACTAACGGCTCAAGAGCAGGCGTTGCTGCCACCTCGGCTCTTTGGTCATGGAATCTTGTGTGATCCATGCGGCTGTGGTCCCACCTTCCTGTAAAGAGAGTTGAGGTTAATGGGAAATTTAGACTGCAGACAAGTCCGTGGAGATACAACTGAGACAGACACGGGGCTGTGTTTGGGCAGTTCTGACAGGTTGGCCCTTCGAAAGAAAGGGAAGCTCTGCAGGGATGGGAAGCCCAGGGTTGACAGGGCTGGGCACACGGGCTGCCCCTTGGCATGCCAGTCAGCAGAGTGACGTCGGCTCCAGTGGGGACATCTGAGGGCTTGAGAAAAAGGCCTTTGGTCCTCTCGGGAAGAGGTGCTGCCTACAGGCCAGTCTCTCACAGATTGGCCACAGAGCTTAACCACGCTTTATGTCTATCTCATTTACCTGAGTGCCTATGGTGAGTGTTAGTTTAAGAGACTAGCGCATTGGGGTGGGCCATGCCACCGTTTGATCAGCCAGGAGTGTTGCTGTGTCCTCAGCAGGCAGGACTACTCAGAGGGGTGTGTGTCAGCCAGGGTCTTCCTAAAGGGCTGAGGTTGCCTGGCACATTTTGAAGGCGAGATTGGCAGATGAGAAGGAAGCCATCCTGTAGAAGCCCAGTGAGGAGCTGACTCGGAAATTAAAGCAACAGGCAAAATGCCTAAGGGCAGAAACCAAGGGAACAAAGAAGACACAAGTGCTTATGACTTAAGTACAGAAGAGACCTAGAGGGTAGAAGAGGTCGAGGTAGCAGAGAGGGACAGGAAGTTTACAAAGTGCTCAGTCTGATAAGGAAGGCCAGAGGGCAGCCAGCAGTGGGACTTGTGGTTGGGCAGCGGGCTGGGTGGTGACAGGCTTTGTCCCTTCACAGGGACTGTCTGTAGTCTTGTCTGGGAGGCGAGGCTTCATCTTGGCTTTACTCTAGATTAACAGAGACAAGCAGGCCTCTCTGTTAGACTTTCAGGTAGGGGTGACGGTGCCTGGTGGGACAGCATGCAGCCTGTAGCCCTCTCTGGACACCTCTGTTTCCTCTCCTCAGGTTAAATGTCTCCATTGAATGTAAGCGAGTATCTGGACTGGAGCCAGCCACTGTGGATTGGGCCTTCGACCTGACCAAGACCAACATGCAGTCCATGTGAGCATGCCCTGAAGAGAGGGGCCTGTTCCCAGGCCAGCTCTCCTTGCCCAGAGTTCCCCGTCCTGACCGTCCCCCAAATCCCCCAGGTATGAGCAGAGCGAGTGGGGCTGGAAGGACCGAGAGAAGCGGGAGGAGATGACAGACGACCGAGCCTGGTACCTCATTGCTTGGGAAGACCGTTCTGTGCCTGTCGCCTTCTCTCACTTCCGGTTTGACGTGGAGTGCGGGGATGAAGTCCTGTACTGGTAGGACTCACGGCTTGGGGCAGGGAGGCGGGGGTCCTTAGGACACTCCAGCCGTGTGGCAGAGTGCACTAGGCCTGGCCACGCTCGGCTGCCGTGGGCTGCAGGCCGCCCCCTCTACCCTTCACTCTCCCCTCCACTCTCCCCACCCAGCTACGAAGTGCAGTTGGAGAGCAAAGTGCGGCGGAAAGGCCTGGGGAAGTTCCTCATACAAATCCTGCAGCTCATGGCCAATAGGTGAGGAGCCCCTGCTTGGGAGCCCTCAGGGGTCACTCAGCCAGAAGAGGCGTCCGCTGGGCTGAGCCTGCCTGGACGACGAGGCTCCCGGGAGTGCTTCGGGAGGACAGCGTCCAGCTCTCGCTCAGTACGCTTCCCCTGCCATGCTGTGACTCCAGGTGTCCCTCGCACCGTGCAAGGCACCTAGCAGCTTTTGAGGCCTGGGCTAAGCTCTGGGCCTAACGGGATGTAGAGAGAGAATGGAAGGGGTCCCCGCTTCAGGAGATGCCACAGGCAGGTGGGGGCCCTCTGTGCCATCTGCTAAGGCCCAGCACAGAGGGCAGCCTCTAGGGCCTGGGCGCCTGAGGCTCTGGCACTGGGGCTCAGGGACCCTGCCGCAGAGATGAGAGCAGAGCCTCTGACCTTTTGACTTTGTTCTCAGCACACAGATGAAGAAAGTCATGTTAACGGTGTTTAAACACAATCATGGTGCCTACCAGTTCTTCAGAGAAGCGCTGCAGTAAGGAACTGGGCCCTGGTGGGGAACCCGCTGGCGGTGGGCGGTGCCACTTCCCTGGTCCTTTCCCCCTCATCCTGACCCCTGAGTTCAGTGTGTGCTCAGGAGGGGCACAGGCACCCGCAGAGTGGGGACAGAGACTGGTGACATGGCATGACAGTGCCCTTGGCCGGGCCCCTCCTGCACCCTCCCTCCTGAGGTTCTCTTAAGTGTGGCTGCGAGAAAAGTCTGGAGCCGAGAGGAGATTCGGCAGCTCCCTGCAGCCACCCCTTTCTCCCTCCTCCTGTAGATTTGAAATTGACGACTCTTCCCCCAGCATGTCGGGCTGCTGCGGGGAGGACTGTTCCTACGAGATCCTGAGCCGCAGGACCAAGTTTGGGGACAGCCAGCACTCCCACGTGGGCGGGCACTGTGGTGGCTGCTGCCACTGAGCTCCCAGAGCCTTGCGAGGCAGGCCGCGCGCTCCTAAGACCTGCCTTCTCCCTGTTCATGCCGCTCGCCAGGCACCCTCAGAGCTGTGGCCTCCGCCCTGCACAGGCCGGGCTGCCCCCAAGCAGAGAACTCTGGGAGGTGTGGTCCAGGCTGCAGAGCGCCGGGAGTGAGCAGAGGGAGAGGAGGCCGAGGCCCCAGGCTCAGCCCCACACAGCGATGGCCTCCTCACTCGGCCCCTTGAGCGCAGAGCCCCCTTCTCTGCAGCCGGATTCCCGATAGCCCCACACACGGACAGGTGGAGGTTTATACCCACCTTTATGAAAGGCTGAGGGCCTGGGCCTGGGGTCTGGCTGGTTCCAAAGAAGGAGTCAGTGGAAGATCTGGGTGTGGAGAGAGACTCAGAGGAGAAGTGCTGTGACAGTGGCCACAGGAAAGTCTCTGTGCTGAGGACAGGAAGCAAGGGAGCGCTTTCCAGCCGGGCTTTGTGGGTCTGTGCTGAGAGGGGAGCGTCCGGCACCACCACCGTCATGGGAGGACTGACGAGAATGGGAACTGCTGAATGGGCCCTGTGGGGATGGTGGCCTCTCTGGGCTTTTGGACTTGGCTGCATTCTGAGCTTCATCACAATCTCATGGCAGGGACAGTGCAACGGAGACTTGAGCTTTTCATTCATAAAAGAAATCCAGAGCTCCTGCCTGTGTCGTTCCCCCCCCCACCCCACTCCCCCATCGTCACCATATCCACTGCCTTCACTCCCACCCCAGATGCCTCTGCTCTTAGTCTCAGGGGGCTGACATCAGGGAATCCTACTCTGCCCCCAGGATCAGCCCTCATCCCAGGGTGTTGAATGCATTTCCTTTCATATCTTGGTGCTGATAGCTCTCCGAAAGTGGGGTGCACCCTGCCCTGCCTGCCCCCTTCAGAGAGCCCCCAGCCAGACTAGGCCTGCTCTGCCTGCAAGCCCCAGCCTGACCCACCATGGCCTCAGCTAGGCTCTGGTGCCATTGCCCTGGCTAGATGGGGGCCCAGCTCAGTGGCCACACAGCTGCTGTTCTCTGGTCACGTCCTGTGCGGTGGCTGAGCAGGGGAGTCAGCCTCCTTTCTCTTCTCATGGGACAAAGGCAAAGGTGATGTCTTCTCCAGAGAGGGTCCATGTCAGGACCTATGTTTGGCCTACCTTCAAGGCCTGGCTGCTCTTCTGGGAAGAAAAACCAAATCCAAACCCAGGAAAAAGCATCAAACACCCCTCCCTGGTTCTCCCAGGGCCCCGCTTTGGGGAGTGCCTTAAAGTTCTGGCCTTTGAGAAGTTGCTCTTGGGAAGGTCAGGCGCTGCTCTCACCCCACCCCACCTGCCCTGAGCCTGGAGGTATCTGTCTCAGTGAAACCTCCCAGAGCCTCTCTGACCTCTCTCTGGAACTCCTCCTGCTTCAGGGGCTATTACATGGGCCCCCATTGCAAGCCCAGCCTGTGCTGGGCGCCCTCCGCTGCTCCAGACCCCACCAGCAGTGGGCTGGGCATTCTTGGAGGGGCGTGAGAACCATACACTGGAATACCCCCTCCCTCCTCCCTCCCTGCTGCCTGGCCAGCCCCCAGGGAGCTCACCTGGGGTCAGATTCTAAACTATAGGGAGAGGCTTGGTGGGTTCCTTCCAAGAAGGCTGGGGTTGAGGTAGTATGCTTGGGAAGTGTCTCCTCTGGTCCCAGCCTCTCCAAGGACACAGTGATAACTAGGTATTGTCTCAGATCATGGATTTCTGATACCTTCCACTCAGTGGCCCAAAAGGAGTCCCCAGCATAAACACATGGAAGGTGAGTTCAGGTCTGTGTGTCTCCTGTAACCGGACACCTGGCACCAGGCCTCGCACAGCCCAGCCTGCTGCTGCAGCCACTTCCCACAAGGCTCCTGGGGGCTGGGGGGAGGGGGGGAGTCTTGTCTCAGACCAGCACATTACCTTTTTGTTGATGTTGACCCCTTTAATTTCTCAAACACCGGTCTTTCTCCTCTTCCCCCAGGTCTTGGTTTTGAGAAACATCACAGGCCTTTTGTACCAGGCTTATTTCTCTTCTGGGGCGGGTTAAAATAAGTTTTAAGGGTGTTTTGTTTTAATTTTACCCACCCTGTTTCAGGTCATTTTTTTGGTGGGTATGTGTATATGACGTGTGTATGGTTCTTTTTAACCCTTACTGTTTTTTTAAGAAGAAACTTAGAAGATAAACTGCTTCTTCATATCTATTTTTGTTTTTTCCTTTAGCAACTTATTATCACTGGAATCGAATGGGGAAATGCTGTCTTTTTGCATTGATTGTATTTGTATGTCACAAATAAAAGACACTTTGTTCAACTGCTGGGGTGGCCTCCTGCTGCCAGGGCACTGTGGGCAGCTCAGCTCAGGAAGCCCCCGCCCTGGCAGGCAAGGGTCCCCTCCGACTGGGGCAGGGTCTGCGATGGAGGTGGCCTGGGGCTGAGGAGACGACGGGGCAGTGGAAGAGCAGCCAGAGGTGGGAACTTAGACCACTTCCCAGAAGCCCTGGGTGGCAGCCTGTGTGGCATTGAGGAGACAGGGCTGGTTTTCCTTTCCCTGGACTTGATTGTGTCATTCAGAACATTCTTTGTCTCCTAAACAGGCTCCTCCCCTCTTCCCTCCACTCCCAAGACACAAAGGCTTAAGGGAAGGGTAACTCAGGCCTGACAGGACAGGAAAGTTAGAGCTGGGAAGGCCCTGGTGACAGAGGGAGCTGTGGCAGCTTCTCGCCAGGGGGGGACTGCCAGGCCCTGGTCCAGGTCGGGGTGGGGCAAGTGGGGAGCTTTGGGAGGGGAGACAGGAAATGGGCCAGGAGCAAGGACTTGAGCACTTCCTGTGGACGATGGACAGTCCAGCCTGGGGTGCTCCTGCTTGCTGACTCAGCTTCTGGGAGGTGGAGAGGGAGGCCAGGGTGGAGCCCCATCCACACGGAGCACGTGCCCTCCAGCACAGCGGTGATGTGGGGGCCGTAGCTGTCCAGGTGGGTGCCCCCTGGTGCAGAGGCCTCTGCCCTGTGGGTTGGGCACACCCAGGGATCGGTCTGTGTAGCTGAGACAAAGGTATGATGCAGAAGGGAGTCTGCCTGCCGCCTGAGCTCATGTGACAGATCTCCTGTGACAGCATCCTCCCCACCCCACCCTAGTGGTTCCTTGAACAGAGGGTGTTTAATCCTGGGCAGGGAGTGGCCATCCCTCTCCTGTGGGGGAAATGACCCAAGTGGTGGGGCCCTCATCGCTGCTCGAGGGGCCCTGTGCCCTCCTCTGGCACCTCCCGAATGACCTGGGCAGGCCGTGCCTCCCAGTCCTCAGCGTCCAGGCCTCTGAGCTCTGCTGTGCTCAGCACAGGGCCTGTGGCTCAGGGGCGACCTTGCGTGTTGCTGGCCCCACTCCAGGTGCACCTCGGGGCTCTTCACCCGAGTCGTACCTGCCGGAACTCCACACCTGCGAGCAGGTGGAGAAGGAAGCCCAGTTGCTGGACAAGTGATGGTCTGTTTCCGTCAGAGCCAGAGCTGGTTTTAAAGGGCCAGACCTTACCCAAGCAGGACACTTGCCCAGCTTTCTGCTGCCAGGCTCGGAAGGCAGGCGGCGCAAACGCCGTGTGTCCTCGTGTTTCTCCCAGGGCCCTTGGAGCCCCTATACTGCCTGAGGACGAGGTCCAGTGACGGGAGGGTATCCCAGGAGCCCCTTACAGACGAGGGGTTACCTGGCTGTGATGGGGCGGGAAAGTGGCATGTGATGAGCCCCTGCTGCACCGGTGATGACCACAACCAGAGCCTGCCGTGTGCTGGGCACCGTGAAGTGCCTTATTCTCAATTTACAGGTGCAGGGAGAGTCCCAGCATTTAAAGTAACTTGTCATTGGTCCTACTGGGAAGTGGCAGGGAAAAGATTGGGAGCCAGAGTGGAGGTATTACCAACGGAGAAGTCACCTGAAGCTCTGGAGAGTTCAGCCTGACCACATGGGCAGCAGGCAGAGGAAGACAGCTCTCTGCCTGGCTCCACCCCCCACCCCCCCACCCCCGCCCTGGCCAGGTTTCTACTTCCTGAGGAAGAGCTGGCTGCCCCAGCCCCCAGCTGTTGGGGCCTTGCCCCCTTCCCCAGACACTGGGGCCCATCTTTGGCCTCGCCTGCCCTGTCCCCAACACCAGTGGTGACAAAAATGGCAGTGCTCAGTAAGGGCTAATGAGTGAGGTCCCTGCCTGCCAGCTCCAGGCACTGGGTGGCGTGGGCAGCACACAGCCCTGGTGGATGGGTCCGTTGTGAGTAGCCATCCCCGGAGTCCAGCAGGATGCCCAGGGGGTGGGTGATGCAGGGGCCTCATTTCCGGGAGTCGTGGGGGCACCAGGAGGCAGCCTCCACTCCTGTGGTGGCTCCGGTCCAGGGTGCTGGGTACAAGGAGCAGGGAGGGATTTGGGAACCCAGTGATGAGCTCTGAAGTGCTGGCTGCAAGGTGGGGTATCCGGGAACAGTGAGGAATGGGGGTTCTGCTCTGGGCTGGGGGTGGGAGGCAGAGATCCCTAGGGATTGAGTTTAAGATGAGGGCTCAGAAGGAGGGTCTGGATGCTGTGGAGTCACAGCAGGGTGGGGTGGGGTGCTGACCCTCACCAATGGCGCGGCTGGATGGCCATGTACGTGGGGGCAAGCTGAAGGTCTGGACATGACCTTGTATTGGCCTTGGGGTTGAGTGGGACTCTGAGAGCAATGTAGGGGCTCTTGGACGCAGCCAGCTGGTGGCAATGCCATGCTCCATGGGGAACGTGAGCGTCGGGACGCCAGCTTGCTCTGTGTCTCATCAGCACCCACGCGCATAGCCCATGCCCCCTCCACACCCTGGGAAGCCTCCCATCTCCGCCATGGGGGTAGGGTGTGGTGCACCGGCCCACAATGGAGGGGAGCGCAGCCTTCCCCCACCTGTGAACCTGTGAACCCCGCCTTCACCAGGCAGGAGCCATTGTCACACTCAAGCGGGGAGGATCTCGTCCTTGTCACTCATGGCTGCTGGCTGCGGGCTGTGGGCCGGAAGAGGTTAACCACTGTCCCGGCACCATTCAGACTGCAGCCTCTGTGCCCAGCAGCGGCACCACACCTGCCCCCACAACAGCTGCACCCCCACGAC